TACAGATACAGATACAGATACAGATACAGATACAGATACAGATACAGATATATATGTACATATATATACATCCATGTCTAATATATTTACAAAGTACATAACTCGTAAATCAATCATATTTATCGCCCAATCGTGTGATATACCAACAATAGAGATGTTGCTATTTAATGCAACAATTGCCTTTGGCGTAACCCCACTGTCTCTCTTTCGCTCTCACTCTCGCTGTCTCTCTGTCTCTTTCTATATTATTTACATGAGCTACTCCCACTGTATATACAGTAGATTGCATTGTTTTTTGCATGATTTGCATTCCCTTTGCCGGCTGCTGCTTTCCACAGAGCTTGGCGCGGTTTTTTCGCGCTTCGCTTCACAATGTTGACAGACGCAAATTAAATGTAGCATTTTTATAATCTAAATAACTACGTGTATATGAATGAATGTCTGTGTGTGTGTGTGTGTGTGTGTGTAGAGGAAAATGTATGCATACCATTATGTGCTCATAATTATTCAATGACTTATTTGCACAAGTTTTATATGAATTATTTGCTAGCTTTACAATATATTAACTGAAATAATTATTAAGCATACGCCGCGTTTGCCCCAAACAAATTGCAATTGTACTGTATCAAATATGCGTGCATACACATACATATATATTTATATACATATATGCATATACACATTTGCGTATTTACCATAAAATCTACATTTCTCATGTGTAAAAACTGAATTTAATTTATTGTGTTTTGTGTGTGTGTGTGAATGTGTGTTTTTCTTGCTTTTTTCCGCAAAGCGAAAGGATACAAAGAGCAAATCATAGAATGGGAAATTGAAAGAGAAGCCCATTCGCTATTCTGGGGCTATGCAGCGGCACAGTTTGCTGACACTTTTGTGCCTTTTATTTTTATTTTTATACATTTTATTGTTTTCCTTTCTATATTTTTTGTTGCTTTTTTTTTTCTTTTAAGGGGGGCACTTAGCAACTTGGAGTGCAAACAGTTCAGGTTCTTCAGTTGTTTGACTGTTTGCCTCGTTATTCTTTGTTTGTAGTTATGATGAAGACGCCCAAGGACCGGGGACCGGCCTTTCCACTGACGAGCCTGTTACAATTTCAACAAAAGAATAAGTGAAAACATAGAAACAATAAAATGCTCTCATATACCCTAGACTATTATGCAAATTGATGGCATACACTGCGGGTATAACAGATTTGTAAATGTGTACAAATCCTTCATGTAGGTGTATTAAGTCTGTATCGGAATCTTTGACTCTCCCTACTTACACTCTATCTATGTCGTCCCCTCTCTCTCTCTCTCTCTCTTTGTCTCTATCTGTCCTCTCCACCTCTCGATCTTTCTTTCTCTCTATCTATTGGGGGAATTCTAGGACTCAAAGCAAGACCCAAAATGTATCGGTTACAAATACCGTAAATCTTAATTCGCTTATAATGCTTTATCGATTTATCTCCTTGTGTAATTCTCTCTCAAAATCTCTCTGCTATTGTCTCCATCTCATCCTCATCATCATCACCATCACACCCTCTCTCTCTATCTCTCTCTTTCTCTCTCTCTCTCTATCTGATTCTTTCGTCCCGTCTTCCTTCCTCTCTGTCTTGCTTTACATCTTCCTCTCTTGTTCTCGTTTCCTCTTTATCTTTCACTCTCTCCACACAGAACTCTTCTGGTATATCTCTGCTATTCACTTATTCCTTCATTTCCACCAAGAAGTCTCCAAGACATGCTCCCACATCCCTTTCGGCAGGGTATCTAAATGTGAATTTTAATTAGAGCTCGCTTACTTGATTTTTGCTGTATAATTTCGGCATTTGCATTTCGCCAGCTCTGTCCCATGCCCTAACACTATTTGCCCTGCACTTAAGGACAAGTTGTGCGTCCGCTTTGTGTTTGTGCAGCCTTTCAAGAGTCGGCGCAAGACAAGGAAAGCCGAACAAAACGAAAGGAATGGACTGAAAAGGACAATGCAATACTAACTGCAGTCAAAGGATTTCTTCTTTGTGTCCTGCTGAGGCTGCAGGGAATCCAGGCTAAGAGAGTCTGGCTAGCTGACTTAAATCTGGGCAACAACTGAGCGCCTTATTCATAGACAATATATGCATATATATATATTATATATAAAACGGTATCTATGATAAAAAAGAAATTACTGAATGGAATTAAGACGCTTGTACCTACTCATTAAGCCTTGAATTCAGAGTATGATACGTTTAGGCTTTTATCTTGATTTGGAACTATAGACTATATATGCTTACTATATCTGTCTAAATCTATATGTATATACTCATGTATGTATATACTCTTCTTACGAAATCCTTTAAAAACTAAAATTTGTCCGAAATAACCAACTAGGAACTACCTTGAAACCTATGTATGAAAGGCCGGTATTTCAATTACACTGCTCTGCTTATAAAGCTTTCATAGCCTAAGATGAGTGTGCATGAAGGTTTTTATGTTAGTTGATGATTATCAAATCAACTCGGCTCGCAACCTTATCTATTATATGGTCTGACACGCTATTGGGTCTGTTTTTTCCTGCAGAAAGTTTCCTCCCAGCAATCCCATTATCAAATCAGTGATTGTTAATTGATTCCAAATTGATCCGACACACTTAATGCAATCCTCGCATATGTGGTATGCAGCCTGCTAATAGACTTTAATCAACATAATGCCATCTTAAGTGACTTTTTCTCTATCAGAAACTCATTTCCATTTTGTTGCGCTGTCATTTTGATAAGTTTGCATTTGTTTGTCTGCTTAGTTGACTGGCTAAAGTGCCATGGATTATTTTGCTATACCTGTACACCGCCTCCCATGGACAACTTCCTGGGTATAACAACTTATTTATTCCTTCGATTTCGGCTAGACGATGGGCAGTTGCTCAAGTCCTTAAGCCTAGGGTATCTGCTAGTCGAGTACTTGCATCTTCCACTCTCTATGCCTCGCAAATGTCGCGTTCTACATCTATCAACAGCAAAAAGTAAATAAATGGACACTCTAATAGGCATTCAGCATAATGCTTGAGTGGCAAATAAATTGCCTGCAACACGATTGTCGATTAATAATGTCTGAATTAAGCCACAATAATTGTGTGGCATGCCCGATAAGCGTGCCCCGCATACACGAGTGGCAATCATATCGAATATATATATATGTGTGTGTGTGTGTATGTGTGTGAGTGTGTGCGCCACCTGGCCTGTGCTCGATTGCTCGATCCAATGCCACTTGCCATATTCAAATCGAGCACACTTTATGCATAGGCAGCCAGCCACGCCCACGCAGACAGACGCCGGCGCACAGGCACACACACAGCTAAGTAGCGTGTAAAATCAAAAGTGTGCAGCAGCATCCTTGTCACTAGATGCCGCAGATAGATAGGGAGCGACAGACAGACACCTGCGACGGTTTCATTTTTCCATTTTTCCATTTTTCTTCTTCCCGTCTCGTTTTGGGTGGGCTGCAGTAGGGCGGCCAAGGGTAGTTAGGGGTGGCACAGCCCTGTATTAGCAATCCTTTTGATATATTGTAATATTTTATGCATGCCAGCGCCGTTTGCTCATTTTACCAGAATAGGCATATTTTTTACCTGCTTGCGCGTCTGTAAAGGTGAACTTAACTATGTCAAATGTCATGTCATTCACAGGCTCCCCAACACAAACATCTGCCCAAAGAAAAAAAAAAAAACACTTCTTCACACACACACACACCTGTCGTTAGATATTCGTTGACTTGAGCCAGCCCCGTTTGATTGTTGAGTGCTTCTTACGGCCATTAAGGCAAATGTGGCCCAAATGCCGCTACGCGAGGCTCTGAATAAAATATATCTGCTCGATTTCAGCATTCACTTTGCATCGCAAAACGAAGCACTTGCTCAGCGTATAACAGTTACTAAGTACATGCATATATCTTATACATATGTACATATGCAGATGTATACATATACGGTAAAACCAATCCATTCATATTTTATATTTTAATTTCAAGTTGAGCTCAATATCCTTGATGAATGCAATTAGTAGAGGCCCCAAGCGCACTCGCTTTCCTATGATTTTTAAATGATTTATAACAGCCATATTTTGTGCAGACTGTACTCCACGATAAATTGTCCTTTGCTGGGGCTCTAAACGTAATCAATTTATAATTGAATAGCAAAAGCCCTTACGAGTATGTGAAAACATCTATAGATGCTGAGACACCAATATAACAGCGTCCAAGACGTATAGGTATGTGTATAACAGTTACTAAATCTCTCACGATACACAGTATATGCATATGCATATATTTCATATTCCAGTTTCTAGTTGAGCTTAATTATCTTGATAAACTAGTAGAAGCTCCAAGCATATTCTCTTTCTTATGGTTTTTTAATGACTTATAACAGACTTATTTGGTGCAGACTGTACCCCACAAGAAAGCATACGTTGCTTATCTAAATGAAACTTGATTCATTTATAATTGAAGCTTAAAGGGATTGCTCAACAGTTATATATAGACATAGAAATATATTTGAATACTCACTCTAGGTCAACTCACTTGATGCAAATAATAATCAGTTGAAATACACAGTCAATTAAATAAGTATATGTACTTCAAAAAATAATATTAAAATTAATACAAAGTATGTAAGCGCAGCTCCATTAATATTCCATTAAATTAATGACCATCTCTTTTCATCTCTATATCCCCATTTCCATTCCCCGCCCATTCCCGCTGTATCACCACCCTCTCAACTGCACTAGTACGAACAAATTTAATTTCTATTTATTTAGAATATTTGCTCGAACATCTTCTCCGGGCTAAATCAACTAAAAAATCAAACAGAAGGCATTTGTTTCGTGTCGATGGACACAATATAGCGATTATCTTAACAAGAAGTTATCTGGAAAAGTTTCCTCTGCCAATGCGCGAGCATTTACATCCATTTGAGAGCTTCAAGCTTCGAGCTCATGAAGCTGAAGCAGCTTTTTGGCCTGGAACGCTCAATTTGTTTGGGTTTTTTTGTTGTTGTCTTTTCTGTTTTCAGTTTCTTGTTTTTTTGCTGCTTGTGAAGCAGCGTTGATAAACGCTAGAACGATTCCGACAAACGGACACAGCGACAGGCAGCTTGAGCAGGTGTGGGTGGCATCAGGTAGCTCTGGTGATTCTGGTGATTCTGGTGGTTATTTTATTTTGTTTTTGGCTATGGCTATGGCTGTGGGGCCCACAGATGCCAAATGATAAATAGCGCTGACGCTTTGAAGAGAAATGTACCAAAAATAAATGAAATTGGCGCATAGGTGGGTTGCCCAATGCTTGGGGCGTGGCCAGACTTATAAATAAAGCGACTCGCACACACACAGAGCTGCATTGTCCTTGATGTGACCCGCCTTTCGTGCTGCAAATGGATAAAGAGTCGCAGCAATTGCAACGTGGCAACAATGTCGCCAGCGCAAAGTGACGTCACATCGATGTCGACACCGACTGTGGCGCCAGCAGTAATAACACCGAGCCACTCTCAGCCCGCGCGGCCCACCCTCTCGAAGTCCTTTCGCTCGTGTTGCTGTCAAGTGTCGCGCTTGCTTGCATACGAGTACATGACGCCAAAAATTTATTAAAATAGAAGACAACTCGAATGTCAGCCAGTTAGTCAGACAGTCACTCACCCGCACAGGGTGTGAGAACAAGGCAAGGGTTGCTCAACATTGTGTGTGTGTGTGTGTGTGTGTGTGTGTGCATAAGAATATTTAAGCACTTATGAGGCAAGTGCATGGAAAATCACTTTAAAACTTACAGCAAAAAATGAAAAATGTTGACAGTCACTAAACAAAAACCAAAAGCACATTAAGCCCCACTGCCGGGAATTATGTTGCCCGGATAAAGTAAGTAATAAGTGGAAGTCACATGAAAGAAGTTTATATACCGTCGAGCTACAAGTTCGTTCAGTTATGAGAGTGCCAAAGGCAGCAAGGCAGGTACTTTATCGACTTAATTATTGAGGCTAATCAAGACTTTATATGCATGCATATGGTATAAAGTCGTAATGAGTGTAGTCTCTCATCATCGTTTAGTATCTCCTGCCTCGGTGTGTTGGCAAAGCTTAAGGAAATTGCATATGAGGAGAGACTAAACTGTTAATATGAGATAATCAGAAGTATAACAGTATAACAATATATAGTATAAAAGTATACCATAAAACTAAGTATATTAACTATATAACAATATACTATTATATACAGTTTCTAGTAGCTCAGTATAACAGTTTCACTACATAGCAATATATTGGTATTTAATTTTGTTGTTGTATTAGTAATAGTGTAGAGCAAAGAGTAAGACAGTTATTACTGGAGTAAACTATTAATTAAATTAGCTAGTACATTTTATTGATAGAAGAGTATTATTATAAAAGTAGAATATCTTTGTGGTATATATTTAACGTTCCTGGAAATTGACAGCGCTAAATATTAGGCCGCCCACCAATGAAACCAGATGCCAGAACTTAAAACGCAAGTAGAATATGATCGGCATATTGCTGACTGAATAGGGAAGCATCCACCAGGCGTAGGCCTTGAAGCTCTGAACGACGAATAGTACAAGCATAAAGACCGTCGACCATTTCAGGTGAAAGCCACTCAGGACTACAGCGATCATTATTTTGATCCCATAGCGATAGATGAATCGCCAGAACAAACCATCATTGATGCTCTTAAAGATCATATAGGCTACAATGAGAAATCCGAAGCGAAGAAAACGATGATGCGGTACGGTGGCCACCACAATGATTAGCATTAGGGCGCAGATATCAGCATACATATCCAAACTCCATAGCATGGGGTTCGAGCCAATGCGCAAACTGATCAATAGGCTGAGTAGGCCAGCTGCCAGATGGCGTTTACTGGCAAAGAAAACCAAGCTGCAAGCCACCAGCTGGGAGACCAAAATGGTCACAATATAGAAATTGGCAAATCGGTCGCCGCAGTGCCAGTTCAGATTGAGCAGAGCACGCTCCAGATTCCACTCCGTCAGCAAGTGCACCGAATCGGCCAGAAAGATGCATATTATACAAAATCTGGCTACGACCTCCACGACACTCCTGACATCCACTGAGATGGGTTCCATTTTGATTTGATTCAGTTTGTTTTTAACGGGCTAGTAACAAATTTATTTTCACGACTTTTATATTTTACAAATTTTTTGTTTTTTTAAGAAGAAAATCGAGACAGATTTAGTTTGACGTGGTGTAGCGAAAACTGAGCGCCTACTGTGCTAGAACTGACAGACATCTTAAATGTATTTAGTTCAGAAAGCTTCTACTCAGCACCCTTGATCTCATAAACTCCATTGGGATTTTAAGAGAAGCATCATTTCAGTTGAATAGAAATAGTACAAGTAGTAGAAATAGTTGAATAGCCGCACATTCACTCATCTGAGCGTATTGCAGATCCTAGTGCATTGGTGCGAGCGAGACACGTAGCTAGCACAGTTGGTTCTTAGTCAGATTTAATACCGTTCAATTACACGGCCGCACTCTCTCGATTTCGCTTTCGCACTCTGGTGACGGTGTCGCTGCGCTGCACTTGACATGCATTTTGGACCCAAGGAAAACTACGTAATTTTCTTTAAATAGTCTAATCCTTGCGCTACATACGGTCGAGCCAATGTTGAATAATGCACTCAAAGACGCAAAATATTAACAGCCGCACTTAAGCATGTACACATGTATACATGTATGTATGTATGTGTGTGCCTCCATCTAGCATAGACTCAAGTCATTTCTCTTAGTATATGACGGGCACATTTTATGCGTGCTTGTGTGTGTGTGTGTGTGTGTGTGCGAAAGAAATCCACAGTGAGGTTCTGCTTTTATTTTTGCAAGCAGCTTAAGTGATTTACTTTAATAGTTGCACACATTCATTTTTACTTATATACAGACAGCTTGGCTGCTTGAAGGGATACTTGCGGTGCAGGGGCATGCCAAGTCGTTGCAGCTTCATCACAAGACGTTACGAATGGCAGCTGAAAAGAAATTAAATTGCTCTCACCCAACATTGCAGTGGAATAGAAACGCACAGCAATGTGCTGCCAGCTGCTGACAGGGTGGATGAGAAGAAGAGGAAGGTAGGTAGAAGGAGACGAAAAAGCAGTGGCAGAGGCAGAGGCAGCCGTAACGGCAGAAACCATTCGCCTGTTCAGTCGCTGCAGTTGCTGACGACAATTTGAAAGGCAGCGCAGCCCACTGTGAGACTGTGAGACAGTGTGGGTGTGTCTTGCTGTCTGTCTCTGTCTGTTCGACCATCGAAATGTCTCTGTGTGTGTGTGTGTGTACAGTTAAAGTTTCTAATTGAAATTGAAAGAGAGCGCTAGGGTGCTGATGGCTGCTGTTAAATTTGTATTCAAAATTAAGACAAAGAATGAGAGAGAGAGAGAGAGAGCGAGAGCGACACTGAGCAAAGATGGTGGACAAGCAATTGTAACGGTTGTTTTCTGGAGACACAAAAGCAAAACCAGAAGCTGAAGCAGAAGAATGTTAATGTCTTTTGGCTCCCATTTGTCAATATGACAGCCTAGCCAGGCAGCCAGCCAGATAGCCATGCACTGTGTGCATGCATGCCAAGAGTGTGACCAGATCATTGTTATGTGTGGCATTTTCCATACTCCTTGTGTGTGGCCAAGCAGAAATCGAATGCATGCTTTTATTTAAGGCAGCCTGCGCAGCCTTAGCCTTTCATGTCAGTCTCTGTTCTTTCTCCATTTCAATAAACTTTTTTCCAATTTTCTAAACACTTTGGGCTCGCACACGTCTTATCGAACTCTGGCAGTACAACTAAACGGCCAACTGAAAACTTTGCTCAGCCACAAATAGCAGCAGCAGCAGCAGCAGCAGCAGGTCCAGGTGCTTAATATTGAAACATCCTCATATTGGATGTCATTGTGTGCGAGCGCACGTGTGTGTGTGTGTGTGTGTGTGGACACTACTAACGGACTTGCCTTTTGGCACATTGACAAACTTTCAGTGTGCCACGCCCACAGGTACACGTTGACGGACAGCCTGTGGACTAAAATTCTAATTAAAAGCGCAAAACTTTTGGCCATTGATCGAAATCGAATTCGAATTCGAGCTCGAGCTCAAACTCGAAATCGAAATTGTGGTCAGAATTTGGGCAATGGCATGGGGGGGCCAGCTGACTCTCTGCCTGGGGGCAGGCAGACGTGTAATCGCCGCAACAATGACACTATATTGCGCAAAGAGAAGCCAGCAGCATGACCGACTAGCAGATACGCTGGAGACTACGAACTAAACCGAATAGGAAGCGATACTCATTAGGCAAGTCTCAATATCGACATCTCAGGTTAACAACAACAACAACAAACTCTCATTTGTGCCCTGTGTGCGAGCACACCCCATCTGCTATGCAAATATACAGGGTATTTAAGCGACAATGAAACGAAGCGTGCCAAAAGAAAAGTTGTTAAACTTGTGTCACATTTAATTAACATGAATCAGTGGATTCTTGTTGCCAGGGGGCCTCGCGCTCCCTCTCTCGCTCGTTCTCTCTCCTTCCTTCCTTATTTTGATATATGTATGTGAGTGTGTGCGTGGCAGGAGGCGTGCAGAGGAACAAGTCTTTGCATTCGTAATTTGTTGGCTCTGCGCTTTGGTAATAAACTTTAAAATTTTATGACCACGAATCATTAAACTTAAACGAACACTAAATTTACAATTAATGCACATGTGTGCGTGTGTGTGTGTGTGTGTGGGGCTGTGTGAGTGAGAGTTTTATGAGCTTCACATACACAAATTACTTAACGCAATTTTTTATTGTTCAATTATTAAGCAGTCGGGTCGGTTAGCATAAAATGTTTAACACGCATTTCGGCCCAATTGCTTGGCCAAGTTGTTGGCGAACAGCAGTTTGGCCAACAACAATGACTAGCGACTGCCTCGATTAATGGCCCCACATTAGTTATCAATGAAGCCCAAGCGAACGATAACGTTTCATCGCTTAACATTGCCTTCATTTGCCCAAACGGCCGAGGCCCTACAGGCTACAGGCTACAAGGACCCTCGGGCGGTAATGCCCAACAGCCATCAACATCATCTCATCATCATTATCAGCGTGGTCCATGGCCTCATCATGGTTAAAGGCAAACTCCGCCTAGGCCTCATTATCATCAGCCGCATTTATTCTACGCTCGAACTTTGACCGTCTCAAATGTCCGCAAATTAATTTGCCTTTGCCTTTGCCTTTGCCTTTGCCTTTGCCTTTGCCTTTGCCTTTGCC